GGGCAGGGGAGGGGTGCAGGGGAGGGGTGCAGGGGAAGGTGGGCAGGGGAGGGGGTGCAGGGGAGGGCATCTGCTTTCTTGCTGTGCTCATATCCTGGCAGTCTGTCCTTGACTTCCAGAAGGTTCTGAGGCTGCTTTTGGAGGGAGAGGTTTGAAGTCTGAGCTTGGGGCCGTCAGGGGTGTGCTGGCCTGGGGTGTGTCCTCCTGGGCCGGCTGTGAGGGGTTGGTTGCATGAGAAAGTGTGCATTTTATGGCCCTTCCGTGGGTGGTTCCCGTGGGTCAAGGACCTTTCTTGGACTGTCCTCCACTGCAAAGGGCTTCTTCCGGGACCCCCTTGCCATCCCCCATGGGAGTGCACCTCATGCTGTGTCGGTTCCCGGGGAAATGCCAAACAGCCAAACTTGGGCCTCTGGCTGTGCTTCGCCCAGGCAGAGGAACAGGTGGGAGGCTGAGAGGGTTGTCCCTGCCACAGCCTCTGAGGCCTTTGGGGTGGAGTCCAAGGAAGCTGGGGTGCAGAACCTTAGGCTTGATCCCCTCATCCCCACTCCCACTGTGTCCCTGCTGCAGGGAGGGGAGCAGACACTCAGTGCCTGTTGGATAAACGGGGTGATGCTGTGGCATCCAGTGAGGAGGGGCCCCCGGGATGCCAAGGAAGAGGCTCAGGGCTCCTCCCTGCAGTCACCTCACTGAGGAGCTCTGGGAGACGTGAGGTGTGTGTGGCTGCCATGGGCTGGGAGAGGGCACAGGACCCGGGCCCAGGGACCAGGAAGAAGGGGTTCCTGTGAGCCCCTCACAGCTGCCTCATCCCAGCCTGGCCCCGTTCAGTCTCCTGCCTCACAACCTCAGGGCGAGACTAAGCTTAGGGTTCCCGAGGTGTGAGGTGTCTGTGCTCAGGTGTACTACGGACTGCATTGAGGTGTGGCCCAGGGTCTCAGCTGGGCACCCACCCCATGGCACAGGGCATATCACACCCCTGCCCAAGGCCAGGCTATGTCACTGACACAGCAGCACGCCCCTGCAGTGGCAGCTCCGTTGAAGGGGACAGCCAGGGGTGAGGCCAGCTGCCATCTCGGGAGACAGGGTCCCACCTGGGGTACATCCACTGTACCGCAGGGTCAGCATGGTGGCCCCGGGCCGGTGGATGTGGTCCTGGACTTGAGGGGCCCTCCCTGTCGCCCTGGGCTGTGTGAGATGGTGCCCATTCTGGCCATGTGTGAGGGGCTCGAAGAGTCGCCCTGCTGGCCTCTGGGATCTCTGCCAGCATCCACGAGGCTGCTCCGGGTGGCATCTGGTCAGGCCCGGTGCTGTCTGCGGCCAGCAGTTACTGGTTAACTCACCCTGTTCCCGTTTAACTTGTTCCTTGGGGATGGCGGCAGCCTCTGAGCCGTCCAGGTGCCCTGTCCAGCTGACTGCAAGCAGAGGGGAATCCTGCCCAGCTCTTGGATCAGACTGCTTGGCCGAGGAGCCCTGTGGAGCTGGGGGTGGCCCCGGAGCTCAGCCTGCCCCGAGGGGGTCCTGGCTCAGAGCCATGCCAGGTAGGCAGGTCAGAGAGGGATGGGCGCGAGTCCCCACTCCCACCTCCTGCCCCTCCTCGGGCTGACTCCATATCACACATCCTGCTCTTATCCCGGCTCGCTGCTTGGCCACATGCCGGGGGTACAAAGGTCCTGCTCACCCCTCTCCCTGGGCCCTTGGCCCTGAAACCAGGGCGGGTGGTGAGGATGGGCGCCTTGCATCCTCTCCTGCACCAGGCCTCCAGTCCAGGCCATGGGGGTCAGTACGGCCCAGGAACAGAGGAGTGGGTACTTCGGGGACTACGGCGGGGGTGTGGTAGATGTGGGCTGGTACGAGGCCACACCCGACCGAGGAGATGGTGGTCTGGCCTTCCACTAGGGCTCATCGCCCTGATGTAAAGATGAGAAAGTCCAGGCCTCAGGTCGGGGGGAGGGCTTGCCTGTGGCCAGGAGCAGAGGGCCTCAAGACCCCTGGGCCAGGGACAAGCCAAGGCCAGCTGCTCCCGGCTGCCAGCTCTGCCCATCCAGTGGAAGGTGCTGGCACACTGGGCATCTGGGTCCCCAAACCCACCGGTGCCCACACTCCCTGCAGATACCCCAGCAGAGGCAGGATGGGCTGAGGGGTGCAGTGCCCAGCCCCTCCTCTGAGACGGGCATCACGGTGTCACCAGGGGTGGGCACCAGGCGCATCTGGGAAATGGGGGGACAGACTCATGTCCTGGGTGGACAAGCAGCCAGATGAGGCTCATGCATGGGCCTGGGGCAGCTCAGCTGTGACTGGCCACTGCTCTCTGTCCCCTCAGCACAGGGTGGGCAGAACACACAAAGCCCGGCCACTTCTGGGGGAAGATGTGCCAAGTGCCAAGCCTGTCCCCGTGGGACTCATGGGCAGACACAGTGTGACCACCACATCACATGGAGGCCTTGTTTCTTCCTGCCCTGTGGGCCCCTGTGAAGGTGGCGGGGCCGGGCACCCTGGCACAGCTGACCCACTGTGTCCTCTCTCTTCAGGTGTCTGTGACAGGGCCCTTGACTTCCTCTCCCCGGCTGAAGACCAGGTGCTAGGGCCTGCCTTGGGCAGCTCAGTCACTCTCAACTGCACGGCTTGGGTAGTCTCTGGACCCCACTGCTCCCTGCCTTCAGTCCAGTGGCTGAAAGATGGGCTTCCACTGGGAAATGGGGGCCACTACAGCCTTCACGAGCACTCCTGGTAAGAGGCCTGGGTATCCAGGGTCAGAGTGACCCCTCAGACATGCCAAGGCAAGTGGTCTCCCTGAACTATGCCACGGTCCAGAACCACCTGGCCAGACATGATGTGAGCAGGCTGCCTCTGTGGCCCCAGACAGAGGGTCAGTGATGTCAGGGACAGAGCTGGGGTCTGCATGGCCCCTGTAGACACACACCTTGTATACTGCCCAGGACTCTGGGTGTCAGCAAGGTCTAGGGCCTGAATGAATGCCAACCATCTGGCCAAGCCTGCCATCAGAGGACCTCCAGGCCCCACACCCAGGACTGGGACGGCTGTTCTGAAACAAATCTGCACCCCCTCCAAGTTCTGGTCACTTCTCTTGGCTTAAGGCCCCAGAGTCACTGAGAGGCCCAATTGTGCAGCCTCCCTGGGCAAACCCAGACAGGTGGGGTTCTGGGGTGTCCACTGGTATCCCCAGTGGACCCTGACCCTGGCTTGGTATCCCCAGGTTCAAGGCCAACTTGTCAGAGGGGTTTGTGTCCAGTGTCCTGGGGGTCAACATGACCGGCGCTGAGGACTATGGGGCCTTCGCCTGCTCCATCCAGAATGTCAGCTCCTCTTCCTTCACTCTTCAGAGAGCTAGTAATGGGGGTTCCCCGGGTAGAGGGTAGGAGGGGACCTCAAGGCTTGGGAGCTCCTGGAGGGGTGGTGGCTCAGGCAACCCATCCACAGGCCTTGCAAGCCACGTGGCTGCGGTGCTGGCCTCCCTCCTGGTCCTGCTGGCCCTGCTGCTGGCCGCCGTGCTCTACGTCAAGTGCCGGCTCAACGTGCTGCTCTGGTACCAGGACGCCTACGGGGAGGTGGAGATGAACGGTGCGTGGGGCCCGCGTGGGCGCAAGGAGGGGTCGCCGCGCCCTCCCTGAGGCTGCGCCGCTGAGCGCCCTGGAGGCGTGGGGCGGGGAGGCGTCAGCCTCGGGGCTCTGTGCTGGGGCTAACGTCCGGGAGGGCCGGCGTGAGGCCTCGGGAGCCCCCGGGATGACTGGCCGCCGTCCGCAGACGGGAAGCTCTACGATGCCTACGTCTCCTACAGCGACTGCCTGGAGGACCGCAAGTTCGTGAACTTCATCCTGAAGCCGCAGCTGGAGCGGCGTCGGGGCTACAAGCTCTTCCTGGATGACCGCGACCTCCTGCCGCGCGCCGGTATCCCGGGCCCCGCCCCATACGAGGCCCCGCCCCATACGAGGCCCCGCCCCATACGAGGCCCCGCCCCATACGAGGCCCCGCCCCAGCCCCCAAGCCCGGCCCCGTCCCACCGGAGACCCCGCCCCCACCCCCCCGCGTCCCCCTCCCGGCCCAGGGCCACCGGC